CGTCAACACGTGCTTGCACATAAGAAGCGTGTACAAGGGGGGACAAGAACCTTCGTTATAGCACAAACGAGACGATGGTTGCGTAGTCACTTGCAGGCGAATGAACACCAGGCGTGTCGTGGTTAAGGGATTCAATGTCGCGACAAGAATTTCTCTCACCTAGACGTTCGATAACGCCGTTGGAGGAGCAGGGTGTGGCCAGGACGCCAAGTCAATATTGAGGGACGCGAACGTCCTCGAACCGAGTCGCATCCACTGCCAGAGGTCGCGTCGGTGGCTGGTCAGCGCTTCAGCTAGCGCTGTCACGCACGGGTTTCGCACACAACCACCACCATGCTTCATGAATCACACACCAACCATACTTGTGCAGCCGAAAAAACACACACTATTATCCTGCTATTATCTCTAACAGTCGTGTCTGGCTTCTGTACGCCTATTATAGGTCAATTCCTTGTCGTCGAGAGGTCCGTCACATAATCGGCGACTGAGAGGTCCGGCAGGGTCCAGCGATTGCACTTCAATTCTTCTCGTTCGCTCACTAGTAAGTTAGCTGTCACTCTACGGCTACGAATCACAGTTCATACGGATAAAACAAGCTTGGAGACGATGATCAGGAAATGTCGAGGTACGTGTGAACTGCATTCAATGCTAGGCGAAGGCCCTACTCACCTCGTAGACATTGATGCCTGGCAGATTCTGTGGTGCCTTTCAATGTTGCATTCAGCAGACTATGCTACGCTCTCAAGACACGGGTATACTGTGCTTCTGTACATCCGGTCTGCGGCGCAGCGTATCGAATAAGCCCCACCGCACCGCAGTCTGAGGGCGCCGGCGGAGTTTCTACGGGCCCTCGAGAGGCCTCTTTGGACCCAGTCGACCTGTCCTAAAGGTATGTAGATACTGTACTGGGGCATGCTGTGCGTGGGTAAATTTGGCAAAGCTCGTGGAAGAAGCTTGTCGGACGCCGCTCGGGCAGTGTAGAGTCATGACCCATGGCCACGATTGATCCGCGTATAGTCCACGCAGCCAGATGGTTGGTGGGACAGGTCTGCGCGCGGTACACAGCATCAGTCCACTTTGCAAGAAGATAGCGCAGCGTGCATTGCGTTAAACGAAGTAGCAGGGCTCCTATCACATGCGGTACAGGTCTCAGAGAAGCCCACTGTACTATGACTCAAATCGCTGCCGATGGTGCGCAATTTAATTCATCCTCCGGATCAGTATGTCTACTCCCCACGTCTCGGAGTATCTTCGTATGCGACAGCATCAACTTCGTCGATGGCTGGTTTCTACCACCATCTGAGAGCCAGATACACTACTACGTCGAGTCATATACGTCTTCTGCCGCAGTATAGAAGCTCACATTGCATCGAGTCATACTCGTCAAATAGGCTTCAGTGAGTACCGTGATTATAGTGCCCTCTTCTTGGCTTATTCCAATTCCACAGTTGCTCGCAGTGGCCTCAGGCGCATCGCTCTGCGTCCGAAAGCTGGAGCGAGCCTCATTCATCTATGGCTTCTGTAGCTGCTAGGACACTATGAGTGGACTGCCATCGGGCTACGGACGGCTGTCTGACAGGAGCCGATCCGGTGGTAGGTGGATTGTCTAAGTATAGGTGGACGAAGCTCGAGTCGTGGTGATGTGTAGTACCAATCAGGTATTTCATTCGTCAAATGAAAATTGTTCACTAGAGAACCGAGTGCCGCAGCTCATACATGCATAGCATCTGCTGTCCTGGGGTTTACCACCGAGTGAACGGTATACGTCTGAAATCTCTACTGTCCTAGCCTCATGTTAGGGTACCAATATCGACATAGCACTGTAAAGGCGATGACTCTGCACCGCCTCGTGCTCTCGACCTGAGAGAATATAAACAATTGCAGCTGAGTGACATGAGTCTGCAGCCCAACCACTAGCACTCTCCTCTTCCGCCATGGATCGTGACACCGTCTCTCGCTTCAAGACGATCGCCGACGTCGACGCCCAAATCGACTGCGTACTGAATGATAGCCCCATCCTTATTACCTCGAAATTATCTAATTTCGAACTCCCCTTCTTCAATGCGTCGCCCGCCCTCCGCCGTCTCCTGGTGCTGAAGGAGCTCTACCGCCTTCACGACACCGTCGACCGCACCTACGCCGAACTCGCCCGCCTTAACCGGAGCCGGACCGCCACCCCCTCCGACCTAGAAGACTTCAATAAAGCTTTTCAAGAGATTGTTAAAATCACCACTAACCGTTACCCTGCATTCCGCCAGGTCTTGGACCAGGCCCGCCACTTCCTCGACCTCGGCTGCGCCCCGGGTGGATTCGCCACCTGGCTTTTGCAGAACACACTCATGCACGGAGTGGGGATTACCTTGCCTCCGAGTGCCAGTATACCTGGCATCTCGGTGCAGGGCAGTCTTCAGTCCCTTGCACCCCGGTTCTCAGTGTACGAAGAGGATGTTTGCTCGATCGCTAGGGGGCAATCAACCTCAATCAATTGGGATACTACTGGTATGCATGGAACACCATTTGTGCGCGACACTGAAATGACATCAACTTTCAGAGCATATCCCGCCCGCAGGCTTTGACCTAGTCATAGCCAACGCCGCTATCATGCTAGCAGAAGGCACCGTGCCACGGACCAAAAAAACTGGCCTGGTGTATGCGCAGCTCCTGGTCGCCCTCGAGCACATTGCTGCCGGCGGCACTCTCGTCCTCTCGTTGTGGATGCGCCCTTTTGACTGGGTGATCGACATCATCGCGATCCTTCGGGATTCATTCGATTCCGTCTACGCCGTCAAACCGCGCTACCAGGCGAAGACTTCATTTGCCTACATAGTCTGTCAAAGCTACAAAGCGAACGCCGACGTCAAACATCTGCACTTGGATCACATCCGCGCAATCATCTGTTACTTTAATAAAACAGGTGAGCCACACTCTACCCGGTGATAGCGACATTGCATACTCACCAAGTCTCTACAGCAATCGGCGACGTCGATACGATAGCCCTCCCTCACCTGTCCGAGGCCGTTGCTGGACAGGCGATCCTCACCTACGTAGTGGAGCTATTCACGCCTGTTTGGGAGCGTCAATATGACGCGATCCGCTCGAACTACGACAGAGTCCTCCAAGGCCACGGCTCAGGTAAGTATGATTGCTTCACCTCTTGGCGGGGAGGCGTAGCGCTAATGCTCATCGCGATCTGCAACAGGTGCATGCCCACGCGTCCATTCGAACCAACGTTCGGAGTCCACACTAGCACCCATTGGCAGCAGAAATCCGCAGATGCCTGCTGCACGGTCAACCGCGGACCATTCTTCTGACTGGCGAAGTCGCTCCGCTCAGCGCGACGTGACCCAGCGCCAGGAAGAGAAGAACATCGGATATAAGAAGCTCTTCCATACACCGAAAGGTGCGACCGACCGTCAGTGGCGATGAACCACCGTGCTTCGGTACCCTCTTCGACGACTGGACCGAACTGACTCACGGTAAGTCTACCATGAACCCATTGACTGGCAGACTGCTCACCATTTTTCCAGGCTCACGTCGTCCCTCTTCCCTTATTCTCGGACTCTACGCCTTCGCGTTGTACGCTCGGCCCCTTGTACGCTCTTGACCCTCTGCGCTATTTATGTTCCCTCTCAACTTTCTTCTCGTTGCGCGACCCGGACGGTCCTGTGCATCATTGTCAATCATACGTACCTTGTTTCGCGTCGTGTTATGCTATGTTTATTGTACGATACGTCGCTCCATGTTTTGTTGTTACCTACTGTTGTCTGCGCTTAGTTGGACTCGCTCGCGTTGATGCCTGTAGCGCCGTCGCTGCGTATACGATGAAATGCCTCGATGTCGTTGGCCACTTTCCCTCATCCAATATTGTACCCGCTCCTCGACCTGTTGTTTGATTGTCTCGATTACTGCACCAAGTCAGACATTGATCAGAGTGACAGCCGAAAGGATCGTACGACCGACCAGACCGCATGGATCCAGTCAGGTTGCGTGCTGACGGCAGATGAGCTGTCTTCGGGGCCTTGACAGGCCGACCATTTGGCAACGCCGTCGCGATTTCCACTCCTCCTCCAGATAGCACTCACGTTCAGTGAGTATAGCGCAGGCTGTCGGAGCTAGCCATCGTCGGTCCCTTAATAACAGCAATGTAGATAGAAGTACACACAGAAGGAGACGTTGCAGACGAACTCTGAGCTTGAAGCAAGTATAAGGATTCGCTGCGACGCCTTTGGTCGCTATACTGTAGTGATGGCAGCTATAGAGAAGCTTACGACCGTTTTAGCGCTCACGTACAGCCGTTATGAGCGCCTCCGCACCCTCCTCCTGCACGATCTATACATCGCTATCCATGAGATCCAGTCTGTTCATCTGTCTAGATGTTCTACCGGGCCAGTGGCGATTCAAGCCGAATATTAGTCTGGCTGTTACGGTTGCCCGATAGTCCGGGGCCGGGCATTTTGCACGACGCGCCTCAGCCACATCGCGTCGCTCGTCCTCCGCCTCCTCCATATCCTCTGGAACTCATGTTATACTCACTCTGCAGCCCCAAAAGCATTCCTACTGCACCGAACGCACTGGGGACGTCAAAAAGAGGTGCCGGCAAGTCCATACTGGTCTGGAAACTCGAGAAAGCTCGACGACCCCGGGAAGTGGTAAGCGCCCGACAGTGCCGCGACTCGCTCGAACTTGGATGCACAAGCTGGAGGCTACCTACACCCCCTTTCCGGATATACTATGGGTGTAATAAGAGGGGTGCTTTCATGGGCACAGGATATATTGTATGCAAATTGTATGGTGAGCTATTCACATAACTTCAATATGTACTTCAAGGCTGCGCGTGCCACTCGAATCGGACAGCATTGCAAGACAAATGACTGATCTGCGAAGTCCACCGCCATTCTAAGCATGATGAGGTGTCCAGAGTCGGAGAAGCAATGGTGCTTTCATGGCTACGTATTGACGTGACAGGTGAGTGATAGTATGCCCTCGTCTTGTACGGTGCTGCGGGCGTTCGTGTATATCAACAGAACCACAAATATATATCTGGTGTCCTGCAGTGTACGTCTGCCTATGTGTATGTCACCCTACAGTATCGCTCCGCTGCAGATTTGGCCAGACATAGCATGCGGGCCGGATACCTACATCGAGAGTCTTGGAAGGTCTTACAGTATTTTCACTGGGCCTGCCGTACGCTCAGGATTGCGGTATCAGTAATGAGTATCGTATCATCCTAGAAATGATAAGCTGCGCACCTGTTCAACATCTCACAAGCTTGTAAAAAAAAAGCCATGCATCATATGTAGTTGTATCCTCCAGCTTGTGCATCCAAGTTCGAGCGAGTCGCGGCACTGTCGGGCGCTTACCACTTCCCGGGGTCGTCGAGCTTTCTCGAGTTTCCAGACCAGTATGGACTTGCCGGCACCTCTTTTTTGACGTCCCCAGTGCGTTCGGTGCAGTAGGAATGCTTTTGGGGCTGCAGAGTGAGTATAACATGAGTTCCAGAGGATATGGAGGAGGCGGAGGACGAGCGACGCGATGTGGCTGAGGCGCGTCGCGCAAAATGCCCGGCCCCGGACTATCGGGCAACCGTAGGCTGTGTTCTTGAACGGAGACATTGCCCCTTGCGTTTCGTCTGCTACTGTGACGCTCAGCGCTCAGGTCCGAGTCGTTGGGGCTATTGCGGCTGCGGCTGACGTCCTTGCGCTCACACCGGGTCCGCCGTTGTTGAAGTAAGTGTCAATCGTAGCCTATGACCTGTGTCTAATGAAGCGTTCAGCACTGTGTTGACACACGGCGTCAACCTTGCCCAGGCTATGTTCGTAGAGATGGTCATCCGATCTGCGGTGCTGGTATTGTCCGTGGTTATGTTGGCGGCAGAGAAGCATCCTGTTATTCCTTTCCTCCGGTGAAATTTGACGAACGATCAAAGTTGCGCTGATGGTTGAATGTCCCCTTGTTTCTCAAGGTCAGCATTGGCCTCACATCCTTCGTCTGTCATCTGTGAGTAGGATTCATTGTGCGTATACTGCGGCCCTGATGTACGCCTCGTTTCTAGCTGGGAAGTGTGTCCCACATGCCTATGAACGTTTCCCGGGCTTTTGTACCAGCCGTCGTCAGGAGGTCTCCATACAGCGGTCAGTGGGTGGTAAGTGTATAAACCTGCGCGGCACGCCACGGAGGGCCAACTACGACGCGAGTACTGGTTTTCCGCTGGGATCTCTGGTTCGAACGGACGTCCCCGTCTCATGCTTGCTGGTGGTTCTGGGAGCGCTAGGGGACATGCGCTACGGGCCTGCCGCTGCGTATCAGGCCTTGGCTGAGACGTTGCTCTAGGGTTACACCCATCTGTGTCTAGCTTCCCTCACCCTCTATGATCAGTTCATACCATGATGTCATTCCCTTGACCTTCTTCGGCAGTGCGTCTGGTAATTGGTTTCCCATGTCCGCGAGGCAATTAGGGCTTCTTCAATCCATCCGTATGTACCGCTCAATCGTGCGTCGAGTCCGACTAACGGCGTCAGAGTTTGATCTGATTAGCATCTTCTCTATCTGGACCAGTTCAGTAACTACACCTTCGCATTGGTTCTCATATCACCGACGGCACGACCTGTACCACACATGCTGGCAGCTCAAATCTGATCGACGTTCGTCAATCCGCAGATACCCATCGCAGAGAATCACGCCGCGTCGAATTGTTGCGTGCGCGAGGTCGCCGGGTAGGTCATCATATGTCGCATCAGCGTTGGTCTGACCTCCGAGCGCAGTGGCTTGTATGGCCACACATCACTCCGACCTGGGGCGTCCGCGGGGCCGTCCATAGTGGCACGAGGATCGGATGGTGGCATGCTTGGGGATCCCTTTCACCAGACTCGGATGGACCGCCACATCCTCCTTCAACATAAATATGGGTTGTTCGCGGTCAGATTTCTACACTCCTCCCTCGAAAACCATTGTCTCAAGATGCCCAGCAGTTCTGGTGTCGGCACCAATGGTCGTGCTCGGAACGTAGAGCCCAAAGCGCAGTGGTCACTCACTGGCTTTGGGCACACCGGTGGCGTCACAGAATGGGTAATAAAGACCATACATCTGGTTGGGGACTGGATCTACAGAGATTTTCATGAGCGACGGCAATCGATCGGCGGGATGGACAACATATGGCTCCTCCTGGCCGACGTGACCGACTTCAACCCTGTGAGCGCGCCGTTTTAGTCTGTCGCGTCATGTCTACTCATTACGCAAGACAGGTGTGCGCTTGGACATACACTCTGAAGGGAAAGTTGACGTTGGAAGACTTATACTCGGTGCGTTCACTCGTAAGTTATACAAGACTGCTTTCCCCGACGCATCGCACAGATAGCGCAACGTCATTGCGAAACGTTCCCGAAGTACAAACAACGGGTAACGTCTGTGCTCAGAAGATTGCACGGCGCCCGCTTCGAAGAGGACCCTGATTTCGATCTCAAGAACCACATCCACGCCGTCAGTCTCCCGGAACCGGCCGGGAAACGTGAGTTGAATGACGTGGTTCGTGAATTCTACTCCACTAGCGCTGCGTCTCGCTGGTGATGCTGAGATACTGTACCAGATGGGCAAGGTCATTGCTCAAAAGTGGGACCTGAAGCACCCACTGTGGGAGGCCATACTTGTCGAGAACTACAGGGACGAGACCGGTGCTCAGAGTGCGTTGATCATGAGAGGGTGGGTTTACTCTGTGTCTGTATCTGAGTACTCGCTGTTCCAACGCTGTATAGCCACCACGCCCTCGCAGATGGTCAAGGCTTTGCTATCAGCCAGCTCTACATCACTTCATATCACAACGAGCTCGTACACAAGATGGACTCGATGGCGGACTACCTCCATGCGGCGAAGCGAGGAGAGGTGCTACCTTCCAAGCTCCACCGCTCCCTCCGGCCTTTCGACTCGCTGGCGACGCATCCATATACCGCACCGCTACTCGAACTCGTCATGGCCTGCACGTTCTGGTTTGTATACGCTGGCTCGATGTTCGTCGGTCTCTTCTGGAGTGTCTACCAAGCTGCGCACCTGGCCGCTCTCTTCCCCCTTACCTTCTGGCGCGTCGATAGGCTCACAGGCCCCCAGCCGGGCCCGCGCGTGACGGAGCGGGAGTTTGCCAGCTCGCGCGTGTTCAGCATCAAGGACGTCAAGCTCTGCCAGCAAGCGTTTTCTGGCGCGAAGCCTGGTAGCGCGGTCGCTGGCCTTCCGAAGGAGCAGCGCGGGAAGACGCGCGCAAAGACGGGGCACGTCACGCTGAACGACGTTGTATGCGCGGTGATGGCGGACGTACTCGGGAAGGAGATTGCGTCCAGGCCCACAGATCAGATGAACGGCCTTTGGAAGCGGATGAAGCGGAAGCTGAGGGCGCTACTCCCTTCGCCTATCGCTTTCCTTATGTGAGGAACCAGATTGATCTCGCACTGCATGCTGATTATGAAGAGGTTGCAGACCGATGAGCACACGCGCTCCCGGCGACTGGTCGATGAAGAACCTGTCGACAGTATCCCTCGTGTACTTGAACCCATCGACAAATGTATCCGACGATGTCACAGTGCACGAGCTTCACACGCACATCCACCAGTGCCGCAGAGAGCTCTCCATTCTGAAACGTAGCCTGCTTCCGAGGCTGTGTTTCCATATCGTGCAGTTGACGGGTCAGTTTCCCGCACTGCTGAACCCATCCATGCTGGCGGAACCGATTCCAAAACTCAAAGAACTATGCAACAAATGGGTAATGACGCCGATATATGATATGTTAATGCAATCATGTGAGCTCTGGATGGCCTCTGCTGTGCAGCTAGTACTCAAGTTTGTTTAGTCCTCGTTGTCCTGACAAAGTAAGGTACAATCTTCGTGCCTGAGCCAGTTGCTAACAGTGCGGGTGCGTCCAGCGTTCCTGGCCCGGCGCAAAGTACAATAACCTTGGAAGGTACGGAAGTGCTTAAATGGACAGTCCTCCCTCCTCAGTTCGGTAAAGGTGAACCTCTCTGGACTGCCTTACTCGTTGGCCACACTCTCACTGTGACATTATACAGGCACCATCGGAATGGGGATAATCTCGTACGCCGGCGGGCTCTCCATCGCTGTCGCTGCCGATAAAGTGCCGTCCAGCCTCGGCGTCGCGGAACGGATATGCACGGGTTTTGAGGAGCGATTTGAGCTCTACGTACAAAGAGCGCAGGAGATCCTGGACCATCTGGACTAGACGGCTCGGTAGAGATACCTCACGCATTCTGCGTTGCCGTTCCCAGTATGCTGCTGCTCAAGTATCTAATGCTCGGACGTTACAATGGCATACACATCGGGTTGTCTTTCTTGATACAGCACCGTAGATTATTTGAATGGCACTCATGATACGACGTCACTGATGGAACCTCTGCGCGCGGGAATGTGAACCAGGTCACTTCGTGAGTCGTGACTGTTATGGGCATATCTTGAGACTGGTAAGGCGTGCACTGCGGAGACTCGGAGCTCGCAACTGATACTTATCACTACAGTACACATCACGTCGGGAACATCTCTTGTCTTCCGGGCCGCTGGCGCGCGTCACAGAGAGCAAGCCTAATGGCATGTTCGAGCCTCGTCGCGTCACAGCGGTAACGTGTCTATGAATACATCTGCGTATGCCTTGTCAACCATTCCCACTCCGGAAATCCGTAGAGTTCAGCTCTCCTGAACAAGATCATACTTCGTGGCCACGCCGTAAGCTCAGGCGAGCCGGCCCGGTAATCGACGCCGTACAACCGTCCATTATGACCCAAGACCTTCAGGTTTCGCGCTCTGGCGATCAGGTCTCGGATTGATGGGAGGTCGGCGGGGGTCCGTAGGTGGAGGTAGCCCAGCCGAGGGAGATTTGACCACTGAAACGAAGGTGTGAGTCGGTAAGCCTCTCGGAGGTATGGTGATAGGCACGCACGATGAGATTGAGAGCATCCGGCTCGAAGACGTCGGCGCAGACATTGACTACCAAGCCAGTAAGTCCATTGGGCAAGTGGCAAGCCAGAGTGCTCATGAAGTCACAGGTGAGCACCCCCCTCGGAGCGATCAAGGCAAGCTCCAGAACCTCGAGGTTTTTAAGTGTTGCAAGGATGGCCAGGTAAGGAATCAAACGGGCCTCAGGACATGCATACATATTAAGGCGAAAACGGCGCAACGCATGTCTTCCCGAGAGGATTTTTGAGAGCAATCGGCGTTCCAATGAATACGAGTAGCCGCCGTCGGCCCATGATACCAGCATGTCCTGCAAGCATAGCTCGGTCAATCGCGGATTATGGTCGCGCGACGATGCCAGGACTGTCAGGACTGCATCCGCGATGACTTCGTCTAAACTGATTGTCAGTGATTGCAACTGAGCGAGTCCCTTGAGGAATGGTCCGAGCCGCTCCACAGACTCCAAGTCGAGGTATAACAACTCGACATGTGTGAGGTTGGGTAAGAGTCGAGGCGGGATTCTGGTTATCCACGTGGCTGGGAGGCTAGCCTTCCGTAGGGACTCTCCGTGAAGGTAAATGGAGCAATCTTCCGCG